TAATAAAATACCTAAATAATCTTAGTCTAAGAGTGGAGGTAAGTGTGAGCGATTGTAAAGCTAAAAATTCATAAAAAAAATAAAATTTGATGGAATGGAAGCAAATACGTTTCATTTATGCCTACCAAAAGATATTTCACACAAATTTTTACGTTTCCAGCTCACGGCAAAGTTTATGACGCACTGATCTGAGATTTATAAGTACCGTACTCCGGTCAGTAAAATATTATTTACCGATTTGTTGACCTCGCGTCCGCACCGTTCCAACCGGCCTGTCCGAGATGCATCATTGCAACAGATACCGTAACCCAGTTTTCTGCAGCCGGGCGCGATGCAGTGGCGGACATCACGTCCGCCCCGCGGATCCCCAGATCTCCGGAAAAACTGCCCCACGTGACAACGCCGCGGAGCGCCGCTTCCCTCCGCTGTCGCGCTCGCGGCCGCCTAGTCCCAATCTCGCCCTTCGAGGCCGCGGTTGGTGTTGTGTACGTGCGTTGCGGTGACAGCTGCATTCCACACGTGTGACTACAGCCTTGCGGATGCGTTAGTGCAACCCGTCTAGTGTTGGTAAGTGATACCGGCGGTGTTGTTTTCTGCTGATTTTAATACGCGTTCGTGCTTCTTGGAGTGTGTCGGACGGTTTTGCTATGTCTAAGTGCATCCGTTTGGGAAATGGGAACAGAATAGTTGCGAGTTGAGAGCTCTCCGGCTGATAGTGATAAATGTGCGTGGTTGGGGAGATAGACATCGGAATTTGGGGAAGGCGTAGGTAGGATAAAGTTTGAACAACTGTTCGGAGGTATTGTTCCGTAGGCCGTAGGGGTTGGTATTTGCTGTATCATACTGACATTTGGTGTTTGCTCCCGTTATTTGTGCTGCCAGTTCAGTGCGTCAGCCTAGATCGAAAGGGAATAACGAGACCTAATAAACTCAGTGATAGTGAAAGAAAGATTGAAATAGTGATAGTGTGAGAGACCAACCGCCACTGTCAAACAAGTCAAGGTGAAGACATTATTAGTGCAAATATGTTGTCTTTAATGTTACACTATTTCACCTTGTGTTAATTCTTTTTTTTTTTCAAATTAATTTAATGTTATTAAGAATTATCTTGAGCGGTGGATTACTATTATTTTTTAATGTGACTAGATCTTTAGAAATTAATTGTAATTATGTTCTGCAGTTAGCTTTATGTGAATATTAAGAGAATTTTTTGCAATTCTGTAAAGGGCTGTCGCTCAAATTCGAAATTATTAAAAAATAATCTGCTACGGTTTTCATTTAGTTTAACGTAGGTGTGTCATATATTATAATTTAAAAGGTCTTAAATAAGTGTGCTAAACTGATATCTCTTACTGAAAATAGTATATACGAGAGATGGGACAGTTCTTAAACAGGAAGTATTTAAGAAATACATTTAGATACATGAAAATTGACAAATATGATTAAATACTATTAAATAACCTCAAAATATTTGAAAAGTTGTATAAAATTTAATTAAATGTAATAAAGAACTTTGTTGCACAAGAATTACCAAAATCGTCAAATAAATTATCAAGCTAAACATATTTTTCTTGAGAGCTATATGCATGTAGGGCCCCATTTACGTATTTACCTTTTTGCGTTGTTTTATATTAATAAAACAAACTTATTTCATCTCATTTTCCTCTATATTCATCAAATGAAAGAATATAATTTACATTTTTTATAATATTTATTCAATATAATTTATTATTCGAATAATAGGAAAAGACAAAAAACACTGGAGAGAAAGGACATGCGCCCACCATAAATGTGAACTTTTTAGTTTGAAATTTGAATTGTTTTAATGCCCAAATATTACCCAGGATTACTCAAATATTTCTCAAGATTGTACACTAAATTATTCCGGCGGTTTCCCGCTCGCAATAACCCATATATACAGGGTGTTTCTGAAATATGTACGTTCCTTGAAAAGGGCCATAGAGGGCACGAAAATAAACAAATTTTATTAAACAACTGATGGTCTAAAACGTTACGTTTTAAATTGAAAAATCGCATGAAGGTTTAAACAAATTTGAAACTGCCCCTGATGCGACAGCCAGCTGTACTTTTGATATCGAAGCTGCCGCGCGCTTGTGCGGAAGTGCTGGTGATGATGGCGATTTTGACGGTTTAAATTTTGTGTTCAAAAATGCGGAGATTGATTCAAATCTCGTTTAAAAGTAATACAAAAGGGTTCATAGCGATCTTGAAAACCGGGACAAGGTACCTGGAAAAGTCGGAATTCATTATTCTTCATAAAAAACAGGGAATAGTAAGGGAATTTTAAAAGTATTCACAAAAGGTAGGGAATTTGATGTTTTGAAATTTTGTGAAAGACGGCCCTGGGCTCTTGAAAGAGAAAATTATTTATGGGTTTGAAACCTCTTTATAAGAGGTTCTTTGGGTATAAAAAAGCTTATGGAGTCCAGTCTAGAAAATGTTTAATGCATAAACACCAATTAGTATGTAAAAATGAACTACAATTGGCCTGGATTTTTTTTATGTCACTTGGAAAAGTCAGGGAATTCTATATAACTTTTGAACTATGAACCATGCTCAAATATTAAACGAATAAACGAATTACTTACCAATAGACGATATGTTCTACAAAAAATATTGTCCAGTGTTGTTTCCATGAGCTAATAAACATGCTTCCAATAGCACCACACCACACATTCCCTGAAAATCGTTGCTGGGATCGAGATCTCTATGCAACGTGATGACTTGCATTATCCCAATAAACATTTTATAACCTAAGTAATACTGTAACACAATGCATGTGCACAAGATGCACAGGGTGGGCTTCCATGTATTGTTAATTTTTTTAATTAATTTTCTCGAAAACAGAAGCTTATTTTCGTGACCTCTATTACCTTTTTCAAGGAACGCACCTATTACAGAAACACCTTGTATATCGTTAAATATGTCCAATTTTAATAAATAAAAAAAATTGACATAGGTAGTTATAAATAAAACAAATTGTTTACTTATAAACACGGTTCAGTACAAATAAACAAGGTTTTAAATACATCCTTAAATAGATACTTAAATACTTATACAGGGTGTCTCACTTCTTATTCTTATACAGGGTATCTCACTTCAATTCTTATTTCATTAGAATTATTTCAGAAACCTTCATAAGTCGGTTTTTTTAAAATGGAACACCCTGTATGTTTTTCTATATTCTGATAGTCATTTTTTTATCTTAGTGCATTATTATTATCATTATTATCAACATACATAATTAAAATTGTGTATTACTATGTATGAAGTTGATTTTTTAGAATTCTTCTTAACTTAATTCTGCTCATTGGTGGAAAATTGGGATATGTCTAATTAAAAACTATAAATGTTCTGCTTAGAATCGCATTGCAACGTCTGTGAATAAATAATAATAAATAACCGGTGATAGTTTAGTTGTTTGTTTTGAAGTTTTGCTAAAAATTCCACAGCTATCCTCGCAAGAAATTACTTTATTTTCGGTGATTACACAAAAAATAGTAGATAACTTAAAAACTAGATGAGATAGGTATAGGGAACCCTGATACCGTTCGAAAGAGAATAAAATTGTGTATCAGAATATAGAAAAACATACAGGGTATTCCATTTAAAAAAACCGACTTATGAAGGTTTGAAATTAACTAAACTCGGCATTAAATTTCTAGCACCCTGTCCCTGTATGCAATTAAGCCATTTTGAAAGTATGGATGGGAAGCTTGGGGGTCTAGCTATCCCCCCTATAAATGTTGTTGCTTTAACTTTCTTACTATAAAATACACATGGTTTGAAGCTAGTCACTGTGTCTCCATTTTTAAAAAATAATAATAAATATCTCGAAAACGGTTAATTTTAGGAATAGGGAAATTTCATAAAAATCCACCTAAAATAACACGTAGAATCCAAAATTGCATTAATATACAGGGTGTTCTATTTAAAATAAGCAAGTTGATGGCGTCTTCCGGTATAACCGGAAGTGGTACGTGGACGCCATTATTTTAGTTGAGAAGGGCATGCCCGAAAACCCGGTATTCCAAATTTTCAAAATTTAAATCGAAGTAGTCTGAAATAATTCTAATGGGCTGTCACCGAGAGACACTGTATATTATAATTGTGTTATTAAATTTATGTATATACAAATTTTCGTGAGTGTCTATCTAACCTCTCGGATATTCATCATTATATATTTCTAAACTGGACGGAGTTCGGCGTTCATAAACCTACCAGTTTTATTGTCTGTTTTATTCAAATTGTAATTTTATTTCAGTCTATAAGCTGTCCTCACATTGAACGCGCTCATTTTCAGGCTGAACTATTTTTCACCACCTCATTTGTGAACGGTTTGTTATGATTAATACTATATTTAGCAGTCACATGTTTAGAATTCTCGGAAACTTTAAAAATTATGTCCTCAGTCGACAATAAATATTTCAAGATAATATAATCCATCAATTTTCTGCTGTCTGCTTTTATTGTGTTTGTTCAACAATAACCGCTGAAATTTTGCTACCGAAACATATTTACAGGATTCAGAAGTATGATAAATTTATGAGACTTTTGAAAACAAATACACCTTCGCCTTGAGAAAGGAGGTATATTTATTTTCAATGTAGGTATAAATATGGTATATATTTAGAAGTAGCATTGTACATGTAATCGAAAAATAGGTATCCGTTTTAAAATTATTATTATAAGTATCTAAAATAGGTTGCAAGTGAGACAACCAGACTAATATTTGCGGTAAAGTTTACTAAATTTTTATCTAGACGTGCTGCTGTGGTTTTCGCGATAAGAAATATTGTTTAACAGTATTCAAATTTTCTTATAAATTATTACAATTGAATTTTTTGTACTCCCGAAAACGTCGGTGTAATATTTTATCTCTAGTTTAAAGCATGAAAATGATATGAAGCTGAAAGAATGACTCATGATCAGAAATAATGATGATGAGGAAACCAGTACTATAAAGAACCATAAACGGCTTAGTTTGAAAACTTTATTGTCCACAGCTGTACATAAATTGTTTAACGTTAGAAAAATACTTATTAGTGTCTTCTTCCCTTACAAACCGGCTCCGCCTGCGCCTTGCAGGCACTCAAAGTAATGAAGTTGTTCCTGGTGGGGTTACATCCGTGGTAGACAGCCCTCTCGCAATCCAACAAAGCGTTGTTCCAATGATATGCGAACTGCCACTCGTTACAGTACGGATTGGTCTCCAGTGGTTGATGACAATCTGCAAAGAAAGAGAGGTTTCTTTTCATAACAACGCTTTTCGAGGGGCGAAGAAAAATCGATATCATTCGTGGCGTAGTAGGCAAAACCAGACAAAAGCCATTTGGGACTTTTCAGTAGCTCGGTTTATTAAGTTAACCAAGTCCGGATGGGCTTGAATAATTTTATTGTCTGAGGTTTTTAGTCGAGGCGTTCGAAGTTTCCATTCAGCTTTTGCTGAAGGTTAAATCTCTTCAATGAAAGAAAGAAATTCATTAAATTTAAATGTGCAAGACATGATAAAGTCTTAACCGATAATATTTATATTTGAAACAGGAATTAAAAATAAAAGTAGAGCAATTAAAAAAAAATCACATTAAACATAGATAAAAAATAGATTAAAATTTATAAAGCTAAAGATTCATAATGTAATTAAAAGTAAGACAAGGTATCAACTCATTATACAGGGTGTCCGGAAACGAAACCGACAAATGAAGACAGGAAATTTTAGGGATGATTTTATATCGATTGAATAAAATGGTTTTATTCAAAAATGCTTCCTAAGGAAGGTAGGGCTCTTTGGAGATGGCCTTTTGACATTGTTTGTTTTTAATTGTTCAGATCGCTGAATAACTTTATGTATTGAAAGTAATGCCCGCCATGGGGAGCATTTTTTATAAATTAAAGTTTGTTTTTGTTAATCGTCGTTTTGTACTAATTTTGCCAGTTTGTAATATTATTTGATACAAAATTTCAACTTTTCTATAGAATTTTACTATACCTATCTGTTTTTCAAAGCCAACTACTAAATATTAGCAAAGAATTTGTAATTTTGTAAGTATCGTGCAAAAATACATAAAAATTTCAAATAGATTTTTCTCGCGTACGGTACACCCTAGCCACTCGAGATAAAAGTACCTCTTTAATCTAGAATACTCTGAAGTTTTCGATTTTGATATTAAAAATACCAATAAATCGAGAATAAAAAAATTTATTAAAATTAAAAATATAAGTTAACTCTCCCAAATGTGACGCCTATGGTTACAATTAAAAAATCATTTTTGCATGAAAAGGCTGTCCGTATAAGAGTTAACACATAACCTAAGTTTGATCCTGCTAAATAAACGGCGAACAATTAAAAAAAAACATTGTCAAAGGACCATGTTCAAAGAGCCCTGCCTCCATTAGAAAGCATTTTTGCATAAAGACGATTTATGTCCAATAGATATGAAATCATCTCTAGAATTTGCTGTCTGCGTTTGTCGGTTTAGTTTCCGGACACCCTGTATAATATATACAATAATAATAATAATATAAATATATATTGAAATCGACATGGAGCTGTACTGAACTGTCCAATAGATAAAAAATGTTCCCTGCACTGATCTACAGAAAATATTATTTTTAAATTTGTGGCAAAATATGAAAATTAAAACAGCGAATTAGTTTTAGAAAGAACTAATCAAAAACGATTATTAATGTTGTTAATCATTGACGTAGATACGAAATAATAGAGGGTCCAAGACAGAACCCTGAGGAACCCTATGTTTAACAAGATGAAAGTCAGGATGTAACACGGTTTACTATTATAACCTGCAGTCGATTGTTAAGATAGGATTTAATGAAAGAAAGTGATGTCAATAAGAAAAAATAACAAAATATTAAAAGAGTAATTTAGGAAAGGTTTTCGTTCGGAAAATTAATTTGTATTGGACCTGAACTAAAGGCATCTTGATTTACGCTCTAATTTGTACGAAAAGTGCTTGTTTAATGTTCGAAGGTTGACAGACACTAGAGTTTGACATTGTAGTTTATTTGTAAAGGTTGGCCCATTGGCGGATCTTGACTTCCGTACCAGGGAGGGCGGAAAAATGGAAAAATTTAGATACAATGTATTGAAAAAAATATATAATTTTATTTTAAGTACTAATGAAAATATAGGAAAATATGCTCAACCAAACTGAATACCAAATTTAAAGTTTGGTATTTCTCACACTATTGATTTTTGCAAATACTTTTAAACTTTTACAATTTTTTTAAAAACACAAGAAACAATATAATACATAAGTAATAAAATTTTACAGCACCTGAACAAATTACGTTTATGAAAAAACAGCGATGAATAGCTATTATTTGGTTACTAAACAGAGCCCGAACTGCATAGTAAATATGCGCTACTCCCGCTCCGTGTTTTTCTGATGCGCGACGGTAACCACGACCACCACTATAAACATTTTACAGATGTAGAGGCGAGTTACGAGGAAACCCACGTATTCAGTTTTGCAAATTGAGTTAAATTGACTGCGCATTACTTTATGTGTTTCATAATGCTAATCTATTAATCCAGATAACATTGTAAACTAAATTTTAAATTAAACTTTTTTACTCTGAAAATTTCTAGGGGGGCGGTGCCCCAGAGCCCTCCGCACCAGCCGCCTCTGAGTTCACCTCCCCTTAGTGATCTGCCCCTCGCACTGGCCCTTTTCCTATATGGTAGTTCCGCCACTGAGTATTACTTCCTCTACCATAAATAGAACTCTTCTTTCCAAAATTCATGTTGGAGATATTGTGAAATTTGTTTTATTCTTCCTAAACAGCAATACGTAAGATTTGTAGATATCTTATTGGAGGTGGACTGTTTTTATGGTATGCGTTCTGTTGGTTTGAAGTCCGGACTTTTCGCAGGCTAATTCGCAATAAATATACGAAACTTTTTAGGTAACACCAAAAATAAAAAAATGCAATACTTTTGCGTTATCACTGCATATATTTAATTTGTCACGATCCGCATTTTTACTGCTAATAATAATTGAATATTGGCTGAAGCTAATAAAACTCGTTTGTAAATATATTGTTTGTTATTTGCATTAATTATCTGATTGTTGACTTTACGATATATGTTTAATTCTCGGTTTAATTTCATATTTATTGGGAGAGCGTGGACGTTGTTATAAAAGCTTGTCGTGTAGTTATTTACACATCTGATATAATTCATTAAGCGAGATATATCTCGGAAAACATGCGTTTTACGCCTTTTATCGCAGTAACAGTAGAATTTGTCATGCGATATATTAATAACTTATAATGTAAATACATAGTCGGTAAATATTTAAATGCGGTAATAAATATTATTTGAAAGATTGAAATAAAAAATTATTTAATTGAAATTGAATGAGTATTGAGAACGGAAACTATATAATATTTACATCGTTTCGTTTGTGTTGACTTCATAAATTATTCGGTTGCGGTTGGTGCGAGTAAAGTTTATTTTTAAGTGCGAATATTTAGTCAAATTTATTTGCACTGCCCGTAGAGAAGTTGCAATTTATTATACTCATAGGATACTGAAAATAAGCGTGTATATCTATATAGTTTCATGTCCAACTTGATTATACAGGGTGGCCAAAAGCATTTCCAGAATGATTCGACGGCATTCGTCGACGATTCTTTGACGCAAATCTTCCAGCGACGCTTTCATAGATTTTACTTATTAGGTATCCCCACAAAAAGAATTCAAGAGGCGATAAATCCGGTGATTGTGGAGGCCACTCAATGGTGCCTCTTCTCCCAATCCAATTCCGTAGAAAACGTTGGTCCAAATACTGACGGACAATTAACGCATAATGCGGAGGAGCACCGTCCTGTTGAAAAATCAAATGATCTTCATCATACTCTGGAACATTTTCAATAATATCAGTCAAGGCAGGGTCAATAGCGTCTTCCAGTAATTGCAAATACATTTGGCCAGTCAAATTACCAGGTAGAAAAAAAGGACCCACCAGCCGGTCACCGAAAATTCCAGCCCATACATTTAATTTTTCCGGTTGCTGTGTATGCACCTCGTGAAAAACTCTTGGGTTTGAATCGGACCAATAGCGGCAATTGTGACGATTTACCGTCCCGTTCAAGAAAAAACTGCATTCATCAGAAAAACAGATGTTAAAAAGGAACTGTGGATCGTTCCCTGCTCGCTCACTCATTATTTCGCAAAATTGCAAACGGCGGTCATAATCATCCTCATGAAGTTCCTGGACTAAATGTATTTTGTATGGATGGAATTTATTCTTCTTCAAAATGGTTTGTATGCTAGTTCGATTGATCCCAGACACAGATGCCAGCTGCCTCGTACTTAATGTAGGATCAAGATGAACTTGTCCCAAAACTGCAACTTCACTAGCTTCATTAACTATAGGTTTTTCAATTTCTCGTTTTTTATTGGCTACGTTCCCTGTCTCTTGAAATTTTTTTACTAACTCTAGAACATACTTCCTCCTGACATGTCGATCTTGATGTTGTTCATTAAATAGCTGAGCTGTTCTATTCGCACATTTATTGTTCATAAAGTAAAGCGAAATGATATCTACCCTTTCCGCAATGGAATAAACCATAGTGTTTAATTTTCAAAAACACAATTAAATAAACTACCAACCAACGCTTCCAAATAATACTAGAAAATAATTTGGAATCCACTAATTTTACGTTCATTGTGTGTGTATAGCATTCATTTCTGTTTTTTACAATTTTGTTTTTTTTTACGAAAGTGATAACAAATCGCCAAAAACCAATGTAACGCAAGAAATACTAAATTTATACCATTGGCGTACTTAACTCGAATGACTAACATTTTTACCGTTACTAATTGTTTGTACATAAGTTTCAACTTTGAAATCAAAATTCTTAATAAGTATTGGGCAGAATTATTAAATTTAATGTCTATTGTAAAGAGAATTGTAAGAGCTTTCAAAAGAAATATTACTCAACTCCCAATGACATTTAAATATTTTGAGGTGATGCTTTCCCTTGCTTGGGGGTGAAAGTGGCGGAGTCAAAAATACCAGCAAAGAATGTCCCCCTTTAATCTAAAATCGACGGGTCTGAGCGTTTTTCTACAATTTCACGCAGTTCCTAAAAATGGTTATGTTTCGTTTTCGATTTGGCCACCCTGTATATTCAGGAATTCCTAAGATATTATGTAACGTTTCCTTATGAGTAATAGGTTTTACTTTGTTTAGATGTCTGACTGTAAGCTAAGAATAATCTTTTCAACATTGAATGAAAAGTAGATATGTCGATTTAGATCAATGTCAAATAAAAAACAAACAAACAGAATTAGTTCTTTTTTAATAAAATTAATCACACACGAAATCAAAAATACAGCTTGCGCGCTTACCTGACAATTGAAAATCCCTGTACGGTCCATTAGAACCAAATATCTGACGATTTATCGCATTGTCTTGAGTCCTTACAGCACACAATGTCTGCGTTGCAAGCAGAACTGTCAAAAATACACTCAGGATCATCTTCATCCTTACTTCCTTACTCGAACAAACCAACAATACAATTTCTGACCCAATTTGGCTTAATATACTCATGACCTATCCTGATGATAACCTCTTATTTCGGTAATCAATGTCATTACTGCAATTATAATTGTTATTATCAATTTGTTACCAGTCCTGAGAAATGTTTACTTGGTGTGACGCAATTACTTTATTTTGTTTAAGCAATTAACGAAAAAATGTACACTAATTAACTGACTTGGTGTTCATTTGATTATATTTGTTTACGACGTTATGGTGTTTGTGTTTGCTTGCGGCACGGGTTTCTGTTTGCACTATATTATATTTCAAGACGATATAAATATTTAAACTTGAAATTGTATATCTTGCTGACGCATTTTTTATGCGGTTACACTTTTTGCATACATGTTCTTAATGTGGAGTTATTTCTAGATTTATTATCTGTTACTTGGGTTACATTACTTGGGATTTGTAGCCGTTCCTTAATGGCATCCTTGGAAAATACTGGAGTATAGAGATTAAGGAATCATGGCTGTAAATAGCTACAACTCTGATTTAAATATTTTATATGTAGAAAGTGAGGAAACCAATTACATTTTATGTAAATGTTATGAGTCTCGTGACATTCAAACTTGTTTTTACTGACTTGGAAATACCGGCATTAGATTAAGGCGTGGTCAACTTCTGTTTACTTCGTAATTTTTACTTGGTTTGACGATCATGGATTAAAATTTCCATCTGTAAGTTCAATTTCTGTATTGGATCAATGGATCGAAATTTGGGTACATCTATCTAATTACGTTTTTATTTCATTTTTCTAAATCCTGTTATTGTTGATATTCGAATAGTAATAAAAAAATGTGGACCCATATTGGGCAATGCATACAGGGTGTGAACTTACGTCAAATATTTTTGCCACATGTCCGTTATGTCAAAATGTGGTAAATACACGGATTTGTGTAGAGTAAAATGTAATTTTAAAGTCTGACTTACCTCAACATTGCAAGGAGCCGCCTTTTGGGAACTGCTTATTTTCATAGATGTTCGATGTATCCGCCATTTGGTTGCAAACAAGCTTCAGCGCGATGTATCCAATTCGCTCGCACGCGTTGCAACATTGCCACGTCCTCTCTAATCGTATTACAAGCTTCGGCAATACGATGTCGCAGTTGGTCGATGTCACGAACTTCCGTGGAATATACAACACTTTTCACATATCCCCATAAAAAGAAGTCAAAAGGGGTGAGGTCCGGGGACCGGAGGGCATCTAACTAGGCTGCCGCGGCCTATCCAGCGTTCGGGAAAAGTAATGTTTAGATGTTTAGAAGCGATATTTCTGGTGCTACGATGCGGATCTTCTTCGACGAGATCTAAAATCATCTCTTTGACATTTAAGATTCTTTGTGGTCGCGTCGAGGTCCCGACGGTAGCCCAGGGCGCTACGGGAACAAATGTTCGCAGTGTGGGGGCACGTCGTTCAGGATATCTTGGACAGTACACTTGACAAGCTCTGTGGGAATTTTCGTTTCCTTCATCATAAATTATGAGCATATCATAATCGCGATTGCTCCATTTTCAAACGAAAACTTGGAAATACGGTTATTAAATGTACTCTCGAAAAACAGCACAGCAATCACTACGACAATGTTATTACAAACTGACTTTTGAATACAATCCGGCTTCATAAGAAACCTTCAAACTCGTAAAAAGTGTTACATAACTTTTTATAAGTACTCACTGCGATAAAATACATGTATTTCAGCAGTTCCAAAACAGTTTTAAACACATTTTTAATAACCTATTTTCTCTATGACTTTAAACTTCCGATACAAGTTTGTAACAACAGTTAACTCAGTTTTTGCTCCTTTTTCACTCCTTTAAATATTTGATATAAGTTCATTAACACCCTATATAAAGGGTATCCCAAAGTTCACGCAAGTAATTTAGATAGAAAACACAAGTTTTTATTTAAAGATTGTAAACTTTTTATTGATTCATAAAGTATACATACTCTTTCGTCGAAATTTTCCATTACCGGTTTCCACAAATGCGGCTGAATTTAGTTGATACAGTGCTCGTGGTTGTGGACTTGTTGGCATAAACTTTATAGATTTCAAAAGACCCCATAGAAAAAAGTTCAGCGGCGTTAAATCGCAAGATCTGAGCCGCCAATTATGATCACAAAAACGGGAAATTACATGACCAGGAAATGACTCGTGCAGTAATTGAATTGTTTCTCGGGCTGTATGGCATCTGGTATCGTCTTGTTAAAACCACATGTCGGCTATATCCATCTTGCAATTTTGGTATAAAAAACTGGATTATTGTGTCATGATAGCGAGCACCATTAGCATTTTCGAAGAATGGTCCGATGACGCCTCCAGCCCAAAATTCACACCAAACAGTGACGCGTTGTGGATGGATTTGTTTCTCAACAATCACTCGTGGATTTCCAGAATCCACTTGTTCCATAATCCATTCAACGAACTCTCTTCGTTCTGCGTCGTCAATAAGTTTCAGTTCTCGAGTCAATTGAACTTGTAAGCACGCGAAAATCCGCTATAGAGAGCTTTCTGTCTTGCCCACACTGCCGACTTGATGTACCTATACTCTCAGCAACACTCTCTCGAACTGCTTCGATGTTTTGTCTGGAACGACTTGTTGAAGGACGGCCAGAATGTTTAAGATCACTAACTAATCCAATGACTGAATGTTTCAATTCTGTTCACATTTGATGAAGATAAATCACTATTCCGAACGTATTTTGTACGAAAATTGCGAACTGTAGTTGTCAAACCTTCATTATTTTTAATAACCCTGAACTGTCAGCTGTCACGCTGTCTTTTTTTTCAATGGTAACACTTTACCACACAAATGGTGCATAAATTGAAATCTTGCGTGAATTTTGCGTGATGTAATGTTCAACCGAACTTTATTAAAAAGAAAATCAATTGTTAGCAGAGGTAGGAAATAGTTAAATATTGAGAGCAACTGTAATTAGCTTTTCCTGCTAAATGATACAAATTAATCCTCCCCACTAAAGCGTTCAATAATACTTTAATAGATAGATACCTTTTACCAATGTAGGTTACTGGAACATCCAAATCGATTGGTGTTCTTGTCATGTAGCAACTGATACTTAGAGTGGACTGTTACATTTCCAAGTTCATTTCCATGCATTTCAGCAAGTTTATAAAATACCTACGTTACATTATCTGTGGTAAATAAACACTTGTTGTAATTCATATTTTGTCAACAGATCGCCGCATGATTATCTTTTATCAGCGTTATAAAGTTATTTTAGGAAATTTAGTATCTAATAGCCTTATAGTTTTAAAATTAAATCCGGGATTAAGACAATATTGTTATAATTTGATGTAAAAAAGTCGATGAACCCTAGATTTAGATGTTTTGGATGACTTCTAAAACCTTGAATATTTGTATAAATATATTAAAAATCCTATATTTTTTTATACAATCAACAAATTAGATGTTAAAAAATAATGGTTTGTTTTTAAATTAGTACTTACTGACTTACCACATTTATACGATGAAAAATTTTTTGGTACCTCTACCTCCACCGATAGCTGCTTTACAACTGTTGTATGGCTACTTGGAAATCACTGTATACAACAAGGACATTTAAATAAAGGGGACTTATTTATTTACATTTCTCGATGAAGCCTGGTCTATTGACAGTCTAATTGTATCATTGTTGTCAGCTGTATAATTATACTGGAAATGTACTTAATATTTTTATCGCAATTTTCATCACAATTGTGAAAATTATTATTATAGGATAGTATTATTAAGTTATGCATACAATATTGTTAAATTCTGTACATATTAAACTATTTTTCATTTTTCATATTTGCCATGTTTGAAGACTTGGCAACTACGCAATAATTTGTAGCGTGTTCCTCGTTCGTTCTGCCGTGGTTGGCAGAATATGGCGTCTCTTGTTAGAAAATAGTTGTGATTTTAGTAAGTGAAACGTGATTAGTGTTTATACATGTATTTTGGATAAACTTTTAAGGTGTGAATATGGTTAGACAGTGCAGAATTTGTAAGAAATTGGATTATAAACATCCACATCAGCTATCCTTCCACAGGTAAGCGTGCTTGAAGGTGACTTTGGAATGTATATGCAACTGTGGCCATTGTCGTGCGTGTGGGTAACTTTTATTTGAATAACGGTAAAATTTTATAAAACTGACTTGGTATTTTTTTAAAATTTTTGCTGAAATAGTAAGAAAACAATAATATGAACCACGTTTGGCCATTAAAATCAAAGGAAAATGCTGCACCACAAATAAGTTACAGACATTATTTATATTTAATATATTTATAGGTATTTCAATGTTATCCCTTATACCCAACATTACAAATTTTAATCATTCATCATTTTCATTTTCCTCTACGACAAAAACCTTTTCAAAAATATATTTACAATTTTACTAAATGCACGAGCATAAAAACTGAATAAATACAACAGCAAAAATATGGTGGTGGTTCACTTATACATAAAAATACCGAAGATGCAATCAACTGAAAGTTGCATTCATTCAACCATTTGATGTTCTCCTTTGGGAATATATTTTTATGTCTCACTGAAAATTTGCCTCAGTATTCTAAAAGTGAAATGTGAACGTTTTTAGGATGCTTGGGGATGGTGCAACAAGAAAGAAATGGTTACAGTTATTGGGATTCCAAGAAGTTATAAAAATATTATATATATTTATTATAAAAATACTGAGTAGCTGTTGAAATATATTGACTTAGGACTATAAAATATTTTATTTTGACCCATCCAAAATGTACGACATTGGAGATGTAATCGCGCGCATCAGTTGGATGAAAATAAAGCCCTCTGCTTTCCCCTTGTCTAGCTTCACCCAACATATGAGATAGACTGTGACATGCATAGTCCCCTTTATTTAAATGTCCTTGGTATACAAAGATGCAGTTTCATTAGCTTTTTCATATATCACAACCGTGTTAATTAATTCACTGTTAATGTATTGCTGGACCATGTCTCTTATGT